CTGGCCGAATCCATTCTGTCGCTATCCTAAAGGCTAGATGCAAGGTCATGTGACTGCTGCTTCAATAAAAACAAATTTATATTGCACGGTGGCTCCTCTGGCTTTGTTCGGGGATGTGAGTGGGGTCACAGCTCTGCAGCCGGGCTCGGGGTGCTCCCTATAGGTGGGCTGACACGGAGCCCCTTGGAGAGGGTGGCAGCCACCCCAGGCCTCCAGCTGGGCTCTGCCGCTGCTCCGTGCTCTGCTCTGCGCTCCAGCCTCCCAGGGTGGCAGAGAGGGTGGGGACGGGACCAAAGCACCATCCACTGTTGGCTGCAGGGACTGGGGATGCTCTGCTCTAGCAGCTCTGGAAGCGGCCAGTTGGTACCGCGGTGGAGTCACTGATGGAACTGCTTGGTGAGTTCTTACTGATTTGAATTTTGCCCTTCGTCACGATCCTTGGAAATCGGGGACCTTGAGCACTTTCCTTTTTAAACACGTGCACTGACGCCTTGTGCTCTCTCTATTTCACTGCAAATGCCCTTTGATCAGGACCCTGTTTTAATTTGAAACCATTATCCCTTGACCTATCACCGCAGACCCTGCTAAAGACTGTCCTCTTCATCCCCCTCATAAGCCTCCTTTAGGTACTGAAAGGCTGCTCTCAGGTTTCCCCAGAGCCTCTCTTCTCCAGGCTGAGCAGCCCCAGCTCTCTCAGCCCGTCCTCATAGGAGAAGTGTTCCATCCCTTGGATTGTTCTTGTAGTCAGTCCTCTTCTGGATGCACTCCAACAGGTCTACATCCTGTCCTGAGGACTCCACATCTGGACACAATATTCCAGGTGAGGTCTCACCAGCACAAAGTAGAGGGACAGGATCACCTCCCTCAAACTGCTGGCCACGCTTTTGATGCAGCCCAGGATCCGGTTGGCTTTCTGGGCTGCAAGGGCACATTGGTGGCTCGTGTCCAGCTCCCCATCCACCAGTACCTCCAATTCCCTTTATGGCAGGGCTGTGTTCTATCCTTACATCCCCCAGCCTGTACTGATAAGCATTCCTCAACCCAGATGCAAGACTTCGTGCTTAGCTTTGTTGAACCTCATGAGTTTCTCCTGGGCCTACTGCTCATCTAGATCTCTCTGGATGGCATTCACTTAACAGTAAGCTGTGCTCAAGTCTACTCGCTGATTATGACACCTTGAGATTCTTGTCAGTGCTGAACACAACACAAAGCAGCACTGAGCTGCGTGTATTACAACAGCCTGTTCCATCGGTGTGCTTGTGCCATCCGACCGACAGCCACCTCGGGTGTAAGCACAGGTGGTGCCAGGGCTGCTGCTGGTGGTTTTCACCTGCAGGAGGCAATCCCATTCTGCACACCCACATGCATTCATGTTCTCCAAGCCAATGCCAGCTCCCTGGGATGTGGAAGGAGGGGAACAAACCCCATCTTCCCCCACTTGCAATGTGCCTGCCCTCTCCTTTCAGTAACCTGGCTGTGTAATCAGGCCCTTTGCCAGGCGACAGTGGAGTATAACAGATTATTTGAAGATGTTTTCTGTACTGACCTGAACTGTACCATTAATGTTCCTTGAGACGTTGCGGTTCACAATCCTGGGACGTGCAGTGGCTCCCAGCTGGGTAGTGTTTGGATTGTGCATGTCAGAGCCCTTTCCCCTTTCTAAGAGGCCTGGGATCAGGCTGGGTTGTCAATGGCAGCTGGCTCTGCAAGAAATGACAGATCTGGGGCTTTTCCAGGGGTGAGAAATGGTTTGCATTTGGCCAGGTGGGAGAATGATGTGGGCTGGCGGGTTCAGTTGGTGGGGGAATCAACACGGTGTTTGCAAAAGGCTTTGACTACAGATGCTGGCTATTGCTGACTCATAGAGAGGAAGAAGAAAAAAAAAAAAAAAAAAGGAGATTTCATTCTTAGGATCAGTCCTGCAGCAGCTCAGGGAGAGAGAAGCAAATGCAGCTTCGTAGTGCTGATGGGAACGGCTGCTTCTCAAATGCTGGAGAGGGGAAATGGTGAACAAGCAGATGCTGCTGAGTGGGTGCATGGGAGGGCAGCAGGGCGGGTGCTTGTCGTTTAGGAGTTACATAGGAACATGGCTCCGTGTTGCTGCATCTGTATTCAGAGCACTGGCATTGCTCATGCTCACTGCCACCATTGTCACCAGGAGCAACGGCACCGGCTCCGTGCTGCGCAGCTGCCATTGCTCAGCACAGTTTGCAGCACTGCACACTGCTTGGCCTCTCCCCAAGGAAGAAGGGGATGGGGATGGAAGGGGATGGACAGCCCTGTGCCCAGCACTGACCTGAGAGTACCAGGATGGCCGTGCAGAGGGGGCTGCTGGGGAGGGTGGAAGGGATCTCTGAGCCCCTACACAAAGGATGGGGTTCTGGCATGTGGAGATGGGCTGAGAGGAGTGGACTGGACCAGGCAGCAGGAGGTGGAGGAAAGGGAATGATGCTGTTGGAGCAGGAGCCAGAGCAGCCTCTCTTTCCCAGGTTGTGGCAGAAGCACTTCCAGGAGGTGGCTGAGTCTGTAACAGCCACGTCTGAGCCCTGCAAAGCCTTCAGTGTGCGAGGACTGTGCTTGTGGTTTTATGACCCTGCAGCTGTGCGAGGGCTGAGCTGAGCCCAGGAAAGCAGCAGGCAGAGCCCAAGTACCTGTGTGAGACCAGAACAGAGTGCTGCTCAGAGAGCAGGAGTGCAGCTGCTGTGTGATGGCTGTGCTGCTCTTAAGGGAGGCGGGAGAGATGGAGGACTGCGTGTTTGTTATCAGTTAGCGTCTGGGGAAAGGTGTGCTGCCTGCATGTTATCCCATCGATAGGCCTTTCTGCTGGTTGGAACTGCAGAAAGGATCTTCTCACCCCACACTGCAAGAGCCAAGGCCACAGGGAAGACCTGAGACCATCTGCCTTCATTCTATCACTCCAGAGAGACCGATTTCCAGCCACTCTCACTGCCCCTGTGGAGCTTGTGTTCTGTGGTCCCTCCAGGCCCCATTGGGACACAGAAGAGCTGTGTGTCGCTGCCAGGCTCCTCCCAGGAGCTTCTGGAGGCAGTGCAGGGCAAGTGCCATCATCCAGGTGCCTGCGCTGTACTGGTGCAGCCCTGGAGGCATCTGCTGTGTTTGTTTCAGATGCAGCTCCTCCCCAGCGCTGTTCTGGTTCCTGCCAGGGGGGAATGGTGCATTCTTGTGCTGTTGATTTATGAGCTCAATTCCCTCTCACTGTGCTCATTTTCTTCCTCAAAGCACATTCTGTAACCCCACATGTGATGACTGAAAGCAGTTTCTGGAGCAGTTTCCCACAGAAACCTTGCCCTGGCATTCAGTATCCATGTAATGCAATGTCATGTGGAGAAGAGGGCTTTTCCCTGACAGCGTCCCTTAGATCACACCAAAAGCCACGGCATGTTTAGCTCAGCTTGCACACAGCACTCATCCCCTGCTCCTGGCTGCTGTGCTGGGCTGCATCCCTGGGGAAGGCAGGGATGCTGCTCCCTACATGTACTCCCACACCTGTTAGAATGCTTCTTGTCTTTTAACCACGACAAATTGTACAGCATGCCACACAGAGGAAGTTTATTTCCACGTGCAATCTCAGAAATACAGTGAATGCTTCGTTGGCTTGCTCTTCCTGTTCTCCTGTTGAGCTGCATCAAGTTTTCCATGTCTCTCTTATTACACTGGATCTTGTGATTTGTTTTATCCCCTCTTTCAACCAGGCTAAATTTGTCCAAGGTGGCCTGAGGCAAAGGAGCCAATGCCCTGCAAAGCCGCTCCTCCCACACTCTGTGATTTTGCTTTCTGTTTCTACATTTGTTACCTTTGTTTCCAGTGCTTAGCGAGGAACGCCATGGGAATTTTCCCCAATCCATAAACCCTGCCACACTCATCCTCACAGCATCCTCACCAAAACCCATCACCCATCCCTGACTCCTGCCAGACTTCGCAGCATTACAGAGGCTGAGAGCCCCCCCTCCCTTCTTGTCTGGTGCCCCTGGTCCAGGGCTGACAGCCTGGCAATGGCATCGTGGTGCAGCAGTGTTCCTCTCTCCAGTCCTCATTTACAGCTCAGTGGACTACAGGAGTACTCCATTTTTTTCTTCCTCTCTCTCTTCTATCTGCCACTCGCCCATTTCAGTCCACTGAGTGGAAAAGTGATGCAAAATATTTCCAGAAATGCCCTGGTGGGCCTGGATTTTTGAACAACTGCTGGTTTTGAAGGAACGGAGCAATGCTCACAATTAGCTGGAGCTGGACCATGCCTGTGGCTCCCCAACACAAAGCACAGGTAATCAGGTCCAAAGAGGTGCTGGAAGTACACAGATATCATACGCACTGGCATTGCTGAGTAAGTTATAACCCTAGGAACGGTGAGTAAGCAAGCATTTGAGGTGTTTGGTCATGGCTGTGCTTGAGTTTGAGGTTTGGATTGGTATAAACGTACCTCTGAGACACTGAACCCAGAGACAGCTGAGTGCTGGAGAGCTGACAGCTTCCTGCTCAGATGCTGTGTCTCACTGCCTGTGTCTACAGCCCGCTGGCTGCTGGCATCCTGAGCCTGAGCAACCCCTGCCTGCACATCAGAATGTGCCAGCATTCTTCCTGCTTTTCCCCCATAGATGAAGGGCAGAGCGACTAATGCTGTTCTAAGAAATAAGGTACTACCCAGAAGTGGTCTCCATCAGGATGAGAAAAAGCACAAAGAGGTCCAGATCTGATTGTAAGTGACAGAGGCTGCCTGGCTGGCAGAAGCCTCTCACTGGGGCCAAGGGCATCTTTCCTAAGTGCATGACATGAAAAGATGGTGCAAGGTCTGGCACAATTAGTAGCTCATCAAAGAGGGGTTTCATTCAACTACAATGCCAATTAGTGGTGCTGTTGATATAACAACCTGCTCTCTGCTTTACTCCATTAAGGCAAGCAGTGGGATGTGCTTGAGAAAAGCTGTGTGCAGGGGCTCACCTCAATACATCCCACTGCTGGAATGTTTTGTCATTCAGTGTTACTGATAAAAGGAAGCACCATCAAAAGCTCAGGAGCACATCACTGTTGGCCTGCTCCAGGAATACAAGTAAGAATATCAAAAGTGGTCTCTCACTCAAACTTCTCTAATAATTAGAAGAGAAAAATTCGCTAATGAGGTTCAGTGGTCAATGGGTAAAGGGGTTGGACTGGGACTGTCACACTGTTGTTTGGTTCCAAGACAGCATAGCTGGTGGGCAGTTGAAGGGTCAAATAATGAATTTTGCATTCTGGACACCTTGGAAAAAGTAAATGTAACGTGCTTCTATCTCCTTCCCTACGCTCTGAGCTCAGATCAGTGAGGGGAAGGGAAACTCACTGTATTCATATCTCTAGGAGGCCGTGCCATCTTTGTCTGGTCCATCAGCAGGGCTCACTGCTGGCTCCTGTGGGCTCTCTTCACGCAGAGGTTTACACACACCCTGTGCAACTGGGGCAGAGTGAGAGCAATCAGCCACAGTCTGTCCACTGTTTGTCCTGCCCAAAGCAGTGCTGGCTGTCTCAACAGGAGGAGCTCCCCTCATCTTGCTGGCAGGCATCTCCTGGTGTAATGCTGGATCAGCGAATAGCTCTTCCACACTCCCATGGATGATCTGATGAGCAGCATAGATGTGTTTTCTTTGGGATTGCCTCACTGCAAAGGAAAAGAGGTAAGAAAGGCTTTTCCTTGGGAACATGCAGCACAGGGCTCTCTGTGGGGGAGGTGGGAGGGGCAGCTCCTGGCCTTTCTGGAGCTCTGGAAAAGCCAATCGCAGGAAAAACATCACACCCCAACAACTTTGGTGAAAGTGTTCTACTGCCACCTAATAGCAGCACCCAACTGTGCATTTCACTTGGAAGATGAGCTCCCCCTGCCAGTGGAAAGCACAGCCCGTGTCATCCTTTCCAGCTTAGGGCACAACTGCACAGGTTAGTGGGCTTTAAATTAGCTTCTCCTTCAGTGCCTGTGAATTGTAGCAGGTTTCTAGAAGAGCAGAGCTGAAACCTGTTCTTTATTTTATGATTATGCCTACACTGAGAAAGAGTTCAAAGAAAGACATGGAGACAGTACAGATTCATTAAGCCACCCATCCTATCATCTCCCTTTTGCTCCTGTGGAATTGTTCTTTACTGAGTTACATGGATTTCAAGCAATCTCATTTGTACAGATTTCCAGCCCACCTCTTGGGAAGTAATTACCCAAGCTAAATCACTGACCCTACAATTCATCTCTGCTATTCTTTGTTCTGTCTTTCTGTCTCTAGACTTATGACTCTGATAAACAATCACATGGAATGAAATACTGTGTGCTTGTAGGAGGGCGAGGGAATGTTCCAGCAGTGAGAAGTGGCTGCCATCATGTTGCTTCCCTGCAGAAGCCCAAAACTTCTTGTTTTGGTCTGTTGCCGTTCAGACAGCCCTCCTTGCTCAGCATTACTCACCCAGCCTGTTTATGTTTATCCATATTCCAGCTCCATTTTGCTGACAGCAAATACAACTGATCTAGCCTGGGTTTGGTAAGCAAACCCTCACCAGCCAGCTCTCAATTCCCAGGACAGCTTTGTCTGTCCAAGGCAGTTTGGCTTCAGTTGCACGTGCACGAATTGCATGTACTATACTGGGAGTACTCTCCTGGTGTCACTGCAGTCCCTTCCTCTATCTACAAGGAGGGTTAAAAACTGGTGGCTGAGTTTTCTCCTTTTAAAAGCATTTTTTTCACATGAGAACATTGACCTTCAGTAAGGGACGGTTCAGAAGTGATGTGCAGAAGTGTCTCAGGATGAGCCAGCTCTGGATAATTCCTGCTTTTATGCATAGGAACGGGAGAGAAAGGGGGCAAGGAGAGGAGAAGAGTCTACTTAATGGCAAAATAGAGATGCTTAAGGGAAAGCTGACGGAAAGTCTGAACTTGGAAGCCCTCAAATCTTTGTGATACAAATAGACTCGCTCCTCTGGCAGGCCACGCAGCTGTGCTCTCAGATTGCTTCCTGACAGCTTCAAGGAATGTGCGTGCTCAGGAATGTGCTGGGTCAATAAAACACAGTTTCATAATGAATAAGCTGGCTCACAATGGGAAAAGCTTTAAAAGCTTCCACAGAAATGCAATATGCCAATGTGCTCGTGAGAGCTAACATTGCTCTTTGGTAATATTTCCTTTGGATTCACAAGGAATAGTCACCAATTTCTGCTTCCCTGAAGGTCTCACTATGAAGGAGGTCTACGGCAGAGCCTATTCATTAAAACACACATTTGGTATTGAATCTCTTGTGAGTGCTTCTGTCACAAGAATACTGCGCCAAACTTCGCCTGACTACGTTTGAAGGAGCTCTTGTACTTTATCACCTGTTGCTCTAGCTCTTCTTCCAGCCTCCATTTTTCCTGGGTCTAGATCTTCCTTCCAGCCAGTTTGACTGTATCTGAGACAGTGGATCCTTTGATGATTTTAAGTTCTGCTTGGTGGGAGCACTTCTGAGATGTTTCATCCATTAGCTACTGTTGCATTTAAGCACGGTCTGTATTTTCCTTATTGATGGTACCTTGGTATACCCAGAATCCTAAGCCACGTTCAGGCCTTCTCTTTCTGTTCTCCTTTCTGACACAGGCTAATCTGTGTGTACTATTACCTATGCTGCAGGCTTCATTGACTACAATTACATCATCCTGCCTTGGAAGGAGTGCAGAAGCAAGGCTAGGGAGAAGAGAGCTGATTTAAGCTCACACAGAACTGTCAGCTGCTGAACAGATGCTGCTGTGACAAATACACAAACCAGGAATAAAGAGGTTTGCACAATTCCTAGATCATAAAGTGTATTTGAAAGGTTTGTGTTTTCATTAAAAAAAAAATCAGAATAAAGTAAAAGCGCCTTTGTTTTCAAGGCAGAGAAGTGTAATGAGGCAAGGACCACTTCAGACTCAGCAGTGATGCAAATGCTCTTCATAAGTTACATCTTCTTTATATGGATGACTGGTTCAGTCACCAACCTTCTGAGTATGCTAGTCAGTGGAAAACTGAGTTAAAAACAACATTTATTCATGGCCATCGAGGTCATGGCTTTCTGGTGTCCTCCCCTCTGTATTTTGAGATATACTTTTCCATTTTGACTATACAGAAATGCTTTTTAACACAGCAAGATTCTCTCCTTAAAGCACGGTGCCACTACAGTCAACCTTAAAACCTTATTTGTGGCTTTGGTTTTTAACTGATTGTGAATAAAAACCATCAGAAAGGATATAATGTTCCTTTCAGATACGGCCCATGTTTAAGTCATCTGCTTGTTAAAGACTTCCAGATTTTACAAATTGCCACATAACACACAACTCACAACCATGCTGCCTAAAGATTTTTTTTTTCTGTTTGTTTCTGGATGTACAGTGTTTTTTCTTTTTTTCCACTTCTACAGTTATATGTTGCAGATGCAAATTGCATCAGATCTAATTCGGGCCATCAAGATCATGAGAAATCGGTGAAAAGGGACCTGCACAGTGCAGAAGAGGCATCTCAGAGAGCAGAGACATCTCCTGGCACTGCATTTTTTCCTTTCGGTGAGCAAGAGTAAGGATGGTGAAGCAGTTCAAAAACAGCATAAATCTTGGCTCCTCACCTTTTTCTCTGATAGACATTTTCTCAATCTCTGGTATCAGGAAAGCATAAACCAGCTCTGCTACAATCTCTTCTGACTGTAGGTGAGTTCGACTACAGAACAGATGCAGAAAGTAATATTAGTATTTCATTTTTCTTTCCAGATTACTTCTGCAAGCACACAATTTCCTTGTAAATATTATCACTGTTTTCAAGTGAGTCATGGCAGTAATCATCAGCTCAGTCTATTTATCCAAAAAAATTGATGCAGTGCCGTGACAGTGTGACTACTGCCCTCTGCACTGCCAATGTCTTCAACACTGCATTGGAAAAGCAGCATTTCTGGCCACCCGAGACTCCTCACCCTCTGAGGTATTTGGGAGCCCGGCCCTGAATGATGACAAACCCACAAACATAGCTCCAAGGAACTGAGTCTTTCACCATTTAGTTTTTGGCCCTTTGCTGAGTTTGCTGAACTCTTCCCTTTTGTGACTTTGCAGCGGTCCCCATGCTCTTTACCATGCCAGTGTTCAGCGGGTTCCCAACTGGCCCAAGGGCTGCATGCATTATCTACGCTTCATTCTCCCCAAGGATTTTGCCATTCTGGTCGTATTCATCTCGTTACAAAATAGACGGCTGCTGTACCATAGGGGAGTCACTGTGTCATTGGGATTTTTATGGCTCGGATCCAAAGAAAGGGCACAGAAACTGAATCAGAGCCTTGGCAGGTCCTGAAAAGTATTCATTCCTGATGCCCCAGCCAAACACAAGACCACGGCCTTCTCAACAAGTTACTCGACCCAAAGCACTATCAATATGACCGAGCCCATGGAAACTGGCACTTTCTAAAAGAACGGCTACCTCAGAAGGAGAGATTTCTGTACAGCTGTATCTTTAGCATCTCTTTCAAACTGATTTTCTGTAATACTGTAAATAAATGAAAAGACCAGCATGAATGGGCATTGCTTTAGGCGGTTCCCAGATTCTCTTAAAGTTCAGTCACAGCATCACATTGGCATGGAGAAGTCTGAAAAGGGTGATTCACAGATCCCACAAGTGATTTCCAAAGGGAATCTGGCACATGCTGCATAAAAATAAAGCTCTGACGAATTTATATGCATGCACCAGACAGTAACAGTGTGGTTCCCATCCAGCAGTCACACTAATGAGGTGGTCATGAACAGTACTGCTCTAGCCTTCCTTTCTCTCAGACTGTACATGTAACCCCAGACGCAGGCAGCTAGGCAGGTTCTAAACTGCTGTAAATGACCTCAATGCGCTTTTTAGGAACACACCTTCTTTCCAGTTCATAAGCAATGTCATTGATTTCTACAGCCATCCTCTGAACTTCTTCCCTTGCTTGCTCTTCAGCTGTGTTCTCCATGCTACTTAAGATAATGTCTTCCAGGTAGGAGTCAACAGTGCTCTGGTGCATTTTCACCACCTGGAACAGAATACCAAGGTGTTGCTCTTACTGCCCATTGCCTTGCTAAGAGAATGGAACCAGATTTCCAGAGAAATAAAACCACCAGCCGCTCTCAATTTCAGACAGGCCAGCCAAAGGTTTAGATTCAAAGGCCCTTTCTGGGAAGAATGACTTGAGTAAAAGATTCTTCTCTAATAACTCCATCTGAGAACAAACGGAAACAAGTTGATGTTGTGTTGAGGGACATGGTTTAGTGGGAGCTATTGGGAATAGGTGAACGGTTGGACTGGATGACCTTTGAGGTCTTTTCCAACCTTGGTGATTCTATGATTCTAAGTGGAGAAACAGATGCAAAACTTATCACCAGATACATTTCTGCAGCAGGTTCACTATGAATCCAACAGCAGTTGCCTCTTCAGTTCTCATGGGCTCCTGAACAGCTGCCAAATAACAAATGCCAGTGTTGGCTTCAGTAAGTTAATCAGCTTTCATTCAAGCAAATCCTGGAGGAGAAGCTTCCACTGAGCCAGACGCAGATACATGAATAACAAGGTAAAATTATTGGTTTCCTTACAATGGACGTAGAACAAAGATTCTAGAAATGGAGCTGCTAGTCTGAAGGGCTTAAACTAATTGCATTTTGACCTTCTTGTTTGCCACTTAGAGAACTGGAAAAGAGAAAAAGCTAAAATTAAAAGAAAAACAATCCTAATTTCAGACTCTCCTGGTATTAATTTCCTCGCATCAAGTTTGGAAATTATTGGTTTAGACAATTAGGCTCCCACTCATTTGTTTCAACTGCTTCATGCAGTCAGGAGCTAGGGAACAGGAACAGGACTACATTCTAGTTATGGAATAGGATAATCTCAGGACTACTTTCTGGGCTTCACAGTTACGTTATTCATTATTGTTTCAAAACAATCTTATGGTACCCCTTGTTATTACAGTCTACTTTTGGGGACAAAATCGTTTGAAAATCTTGCTTAAAGGCATCTTTCCTGGGAGAGCCTATAGCAGTTCTGCTGGACAGACCAGGTTCTAACAAAACATGACTCCTAAAGATGGTGTAGGTTCATCTGTTTTCTAGAAGTGCTTGTGGAACTTTGGAAACTTACTCAAGACGTGTAACTGAATGCTCAACAGATCTGTCTGCACTCCGATCACCCTTAACTGAGTGCAGATGACCTTTATAGGATGCAATCACCTTCTCTTCACTAAGCCTTTCCCCTAATCACCACCTTGGTGAAATCTGAAGTGCTTCCCTTCCACCTAGACCTTCCCACAAGCTGCCCACAGTTCCACCAGTCTCCTTCTCTTGCCTGTCTGAAGATCTCATCTTCCTCTTGCCGCTGCCTCTCTTCCACCTGTCGGCGCCCACTCTCCTCTGCTTCCCGCATCCGCCTGGTCCTCTCAGCCAGCATGACAAAAGCGTGGATCCTCCGCTCTTCTTGCAGCCTCAGCAGTTCTTTGGATAGGAAATCAAACATGTTTGCCAGTGCCCTTCCTTCTTCCCGGGCCAAGTGGCTTTCCATTGATGACAGCTTTAAAAAAAAAAATTAAAAAAAAATGCAAAGAATTGTGTTACAAGCCTCAGGAATGTCCCTCTGAGTCTCAGGACGACCACAGGCATGTGAAACAGCCCTACAGCATCCCCTCACATTGACCGTGGGGAGTTCTGCATTCTTGTTTCACATGCACAGACCTGGATTCCACATACTGTAATGTTCCTGTATACTGGCCCTGATGGTTCAAAGAGGCAAAAAGATGGTAAAAATAGCCACCATGAGGATGGTCCTGGTCCTGTTACACTCTGACAAGCAGTCTCTTCGCTTGGGTGAGTGGGAGGAAATAAAACACTAGATGCACTGTATTCCAGCTATTCTGAACTGGTTTTTTTGTCTATGAGTATAATCAGAACAGTCACTGGGGCCTTCTTTCTGCTACTGGGAAACTGCTCCAATTCCCAGCCTGAGAAAAGGGAGATGAAAATAAAAAGTGACAATGAAATGGTCGCTTTGCATACCCTTCATCTTTCTGTGCTAAGCTCAGCTAGAAAAAATAGGATCAAAAGACACAAAGACAGCTTTTAACATCTGGAAAGTAAAGCCTCAATTCTTACAAACAGGGAGCTTGAGTCAAAGCTTAGGAAGCTGTACAATTTTGAGTACAGCCACATTTCTATGCTATTTTGAGGACTCTTCATGTCTGTTGCAGTTCAAGGCTGTCTCAGAGAAATCTTTCCTTTTTGGTTGGACATTCACGATGTGAGCAAAGTGCAGAGGGGATACAGAAATCAAGAGGTTTAGGTATTGAGTTATTCCCTAAAGCTGTACAAGTTAAGTACTAGAGTCTATCAAATTCAAATCAACAGTGATTATACTCAGTTTGCAGAAGTGCTCAAGAAAACTCAAAATCCAGGCAATGGAAAATCAGAAAGTCTGTGACAGAGCTGAGACCAGAGTTCAGGTGTTTGGCATCACAGTGCCGCTCGTGACTTGTTTTATGGACCTGGTATGTATGACTGTATCTCAGAAAGTGACAAGATATATGGTAAGTACATTATCTCCAGCATGGACTGTGGACAGTCTTAGGCAGGAAAGAATGTCTGGAGCTGGCTGGCATGTTGTGTCTCTGTTGGAATAAACAGGCAATAACAGAGAAGACTTGAATGTAAAACTCAAAGCATACTGGAGGTGAAATATGCCAGACAAGTAGAAATAAATCATCTTTCTTATACTGCTATGCCGTTTGCTCATGCAGTTTTTAAAAGAAAGAGGGATTGTCAGTGCTGCATGCACCTAGAAGTGACAATGCTCAGCCCATAGGTGTTTAGGATGGTGTTTACAGCAATGCAGTAACTGCACCATCCTTCAGGGATGAATATCAAGGAGATAACAAGCTTCTTTCTTTTTACTGCTCAAGGTGCTGTGTTTAAAACCTACATGACATGGGGGAGAGCAACACAGACTCAAACCTGCCTTAGGATTTTGCTGTTCCTCAAGTTCGAAATTTTCATCTTTAACAATTTTATCTGGAATTTCAGTCTCAACATTTCTTAAAAAAATGCCTTTTTCTATACCAGGGAAGTTAAAAATCTGAAAAAATCGTGACCAGCTAGAACTAAAGGACTATGAATCATCAGTGACTTTCCAAAATAGGCATACACTTACACAACTATTGCACATGCATTCCAGAGTTTTAAAGTTCTAAATATTTAAAGAGTTGAGCCTTGGACTGTGTGCCTTCCGAGACTTAGTTAAAAGAGAGGAAACAAAAAAAAGAAGAAAAAAAAAGCAAGTGCAGAGGAGTGCCAGCAGAGGGGGATAGTGGCTCTCCCAAAAGGAAATTTTGAGATCAGAGGTCAGCATCTTTTACATTTGCTCTCTCTCTTCTGAACGTCATTATATCTGAACAGCTTTCTCCTTCACTCTTACTCAGGCCTCCAGGGACAGAGCAAAAAGCTCTGTTTTTTATTAATTTCTCATTAGATGAATCCTGGATTCTATGATTTATATTCAGGCTCCCTGTCTATTGGGGAGCATCTAAAAATCATAAACAGCAAAACACACACACCTAATTTATTTTTTGTTGGGATCTGAGGGGAGATTTTGCTGCTGCCCACCTAGCAAGATGCAGTAACTTGACTTCATCTCTGCCACGCCAGTGGCTAGTGGATGCTGTTAGCATAATATGCAAACCATAGTATTGTCTCACAGTCGGTCAGTGAAACACCAGGAGAGTGGTAAAAACTGTGCACAAACACCTGCAGAATTGTGGGAGTGACTCAGTATCTGAAATGGACAGAATTTCTTTATGATCTCTCCAGTCTGAGACTGCCATTCGATTAACTGTGCTCTGGAAGGCCATGGCCCTGCGAGGAAATAGGATGAGAATTTGTGTCCCCAGCACTCCCTAGATTCTTGGTAGGGAATGGGGCCTAGAATTTCTCTCTTCTCTGGAACAGTGGCAACAGCAATACGACATCACTGCTGAATTCCTAGAAGTCTCAATCCCTCCAAGATTTACAAAATAAATCCACTGATACTTCGTGCCTGAAGGGGAGACTAAGGGAGTGCCAAGCTAGAAAAGGAACTGGAAAATGATGCAGTATAAACATGCATTCAATAAAAGGCATCTGATAGGTGCAAGTGACTAGCAGATATTGTGATGCCAGGTCACAGCAACAGTCAAAGAGACAGAAATGTGGGTAAAATGAGGTTTGTCTGAAGGTGCAGTTTGTTCAGAGCCACGGGATTATAAATAAGCAAGTAACAGCTTGGGTTGCAGCTGTGGTCAGGGTGCCTCAGAGTGCTCTTGATACTGTGCAGGCTCTGGGGAATCTCAAAAATCTCATTAAAAGCCCCACAGATTTGAGTTATTTGGGCTTCTTTCTGTGCTGTGGATAATAGAAAACAAATAAGTGAGAGTGCTGATGCTGCTGCAAGCACAGTGCCCTGCTAGAGGAGTGTGGTGAGTCAACCTCTCCATCTATATAGGTATACCTTGTGCATTTTCAAGTCATGCTGCTGCTGTAAGGCCCGGATCATTTTCTCCTGTGCTTTCAGAAGCAGTTGTCCATTCTCTTGAAGTGCATGAGTGGTGCGCAGCTCTTGGATCAGTTCCAGCCTCTTCTCCTTCTCTTCAAACATCTTTTAGATAAAGTTAGACAAACAAGCATATTCAACAAAGAATATATTCAACGTGTTCTGCTAACAAAGCGCACACTTTTTCTCCATGAACAGGACAGAATAGTTTAGTTGGAAGGGACCTACAAAGATCAGTGAGTCCAAGCGGCTGATCATTGCAAGGCTAACCAAAAGTTAAAGCATATTACTGAGGGCATTTATCCAAGTGTCTTAAACACTGACAGGCATGGGTCACCAGCTCTCTCTCTTAGAAGTCTGTTCTAGTGTTTGTCCACCCTCAAGGTACAGAAATTTCTGCAGATATCCAATATGAACCTCACCTGGCACAGCTTTGTGCTGTTCTTGTGTGCACGGTATCTTGGCATAATCAAGGCAAAATGTACTCATAATCCAGATCTAGTCTAGAATTTGCCATTTGAGTAATTCTGTTATGAAGCATCTAATTAAACAGCTGAATGCATGGCAGGGAGACACAAACAGGTAGGAACCTAAATGTTCCTGTAAAAAATTTGGGATGGAGAGCGAAGACTTGAAGGACTTCAGAGGCCATACAGGAGGATATGCTGCATAATCCTCATTACCCTAGATTAGTTCTGAGGAAGAAAGATTGCAAACACCTCCAATCATTCCCACTGTCATTCTGAAGAGAGACATAAACCAAGACACACAAAATACCTTGTTCTGAATAGCCCTGCCTCGGAGCAATTTCTGCAAGCAGATCACTGCCAGTTCTCTTTCCTCTTCCTCCTGACAAAACCAAACAAATATCCACACAATAACTGCCAATTTATTTGGAGGCTGAGATTTCCATGGAGTATCCACCTAACTATCAAAAAGTGAAATTAATACCAATTTCTCAATTGTTTGTGAGCACTTTTCTTCTAATGAAAGGAATATGAGTCAGAATAATACACAGTTCTATGTTTTATAAGAGGTGGGGGAGCAAGACAATATAATGAGGTTCTATCTGAGATTTTAGAGGGTCTCTAGGGAGAAGTATCTAATACTAAGATACTGATGGAGAAAATGACTGTACATGTTAGAAGTATGACTTATCGCTTGACTGAGTTGGCAAAATGACAATGAGCAACACAAATTTACAGGTGAAGACACTAAGGGGATAGAAGAATTATTTAAGGAGCTGCAAGAGAGCTGTTAACTATAAATAAAGGGATTAAAAAGCAACATATCCTTTTTTTTTTTTTGTCTTATATTTTCTTCCAGTGGTGACCTTTATCAGAGTAACTTGGTAAATTAAGACTCAATAAATTGATAGTTTGGAAGTAAAATAAATTACCCTAGAGTGCAATCTGTTTCTTCAAGAAGTTTACTAGTGTAGCACTGTATGACTGATACCAACTTGGAAAAATGATGGTATGTAATGAGAAAGAGAACAGGTCCACAGGAGAAGAAAAAAAAAAAAGCTTATTTTAAATAGAATGGGCAGCATTTTTTCTTGCTGAGGGATCTTGCTGAACTGACAGCAGCAGGAGAAGAAAGCTCATTAGGTACCTGGGAAAGATAAAAAGAAAACTAAAAATTGAAAGAAGGGGTTTTTTTTACATAAAGAGCCTATAAAGTTTGAATGGAAAAGTGGCATTTTAGAAGTGCTGGGAAGAGCATGGAATGAGAGAAGGACTGTCTTTTGATTTGACGTGTTCTTTTCCTATGGAAAGAAAGGATGAATTCACAGTCTAGTTAGAAAGCTAAACTGCACCACGTCACCTGGCTGCAGAGGTGAGGCCTACAAACCCTCCAGGCATGGAAATGGAGACAATCAACATATATGCAATACAGGTAAGGCAAATTACTATAAGATTTAGTCTATATTTTTGTGTGATGTAATCTTCTGTACTTGGAGTTGTATTGTTTGGTGCTGCAAACGATGCTTTAGCAAGGGTAATCATCAACCTTTCAATCCACCTGCTACAAACCAGCAAGAAAGAATGACCTTGCTTTCAGGAGAAAACTGGTAGGAGAAAGCTTACTTGGATTCTGTAAGGTAGGTAGGTGATGCTGCAGATGCTCTTTGGTGGCTGAAGTGGACTGATTTCACAGATCTCTTCACTGGAGAGCTCAAATCATGTAAGTGTTCACGCATAAGGATATTTGGAAATCAACCAAATGTTGGCAGAATTAATCTAAGTGGAAGTGTATTGTAATGGAATCCTTCCAAAAGAAAATATAATCTGAAAATAGCTTCAAGAATGACTATGATTAAGGGATACATTTTTCTGATTTCTTTCCTTGTGTCTAAAAGAATCTTCCAAAGTCTTGTATCTAAGTAGTGTAAATGTACTACTCCAATACAATACCTAATAGCTAGGTGTTAGTAAAACTGTAGAAAGTTCTCCCCAAGCAGATATTCTTGCTGCATTCATCTTAAAATGGACTGTATAAAACACAGATCATCATACTGCATGAGGGAAGATGGCATGGATGGCTTAATAAGACTTTTTCTCTCGTTCTTTCATGGCTGTGTGACTCTCCAAAATTCACAAGTTTAAATGGCAATTATGTCTGATTTTTTACTGCCTCAGGAAAATGGTGTTAATAAGCAGACAAAGCCATCCACTGGGGCAACCATCTCTTATGTGTGTTAGTTCAAAAACGGAAAAGAAGTTGCAGCTCCCCTAAGAAGTTGTTCTGTTTTTTTCCTATGGCACATCACAATCCTCATGACACATTACTGCTGTTCTGATCTCTACAGAAAAATGAAGGTGAACCGTCACCTAAACTGAGCACGATCATCAAAGACTGAGTCCTTTGCAATGACAAGAGCTTCATCTCAGCAAATTAATGAAGTGCACTCTCAGTGCTAAGTACCAAAGTCTTATGGACTTCAATGGGACTAAACTTAATCGCTCCCCTGGATTATGATGGTGTTGTCAGATCAGAGGGATGGAAGACGCTGAATAATTTCATGTTTGCTGAGATCTATGATTGCTTTTTTGTTCCCAATGAGCAAGGGAACAACACATCTACTAATTTATTTCTTTATAAATGGAAGCTAATTAAAGGATTTAGCCAACAGATAAGGTAAAAGATTTCCAGTTCTTCAGTTACTAGAATCTTTGTAGAATAAATAAATAAGAGAAGCTTAAGAAATGCACTTGTATTTCTAAGACAAATACGTAACGACAACAAAAAAGATAAAACTCACTTCCTTCCTTCTCTGGGCATTCCTTCAACAACCAGGTAGGAAATAATGGAGGATCAAAAGAAAATAAATGAATAGTGCTAAAATCATTCCACTTACAATTGATGGTTTTTCCAAAATTGGAGTGGGGGGACGAGGGACAGGCTTTTCTACTTTTTCAAGGAAGTGAAGAGGCTTCTTTGGCTCCTTGACTTTATTCTTCTTCTCCAACAGTGCCTGAAAAAGTCATAGAGTTTACTCAGAGCTGATCTAGTTAGAGCAAGATAGTAAGGCCTCTACTGCAGATGCTGGCTACTCCTGATCACACAGACTGAAAGAAGTCCTGCATTTTACAGCCTTATGGCTTCCACTCTGCACGACACAGCAATTGAAAAACTATATAGTTTTATAGTATATAGGAATATGGCTGGTAGATTATGCTATTCAGAAGATACCAATGGGAATTTCAAAACAATTTGTAAGGAAGTGAGAGCTATTTTATGATATTTACAAGTCAATCATCAGCAACTGTATAGAGCGAGTCGCCTGAAATTGGTGTGAACCCAATCTCCAAAATAAAACATTTTTGAAAGTAATTTTTTTCCATTTGAAGATTTAACACTGACCCATCTGCAAGCAGAAGCAATTGTATGTGTTACTTTCTTGCCTTCTGCAATGACAAGGATATTGATGACATTCCTATGATAGCAGTACTTTCAAAGCAAGGGTAAAAACATCACAATTTAATTACAGTTTATGTATTGAAGAAAATGGTTATAAGATTTTGCCTTTATCTACAGGTACAACGACTGTTACTGCAGGTTGAAAGTGTTACATAGCCACTAGTAAAGGAGTTCACTCCAAGAGTCACTGTTCTGTGCTCCCTCCTTGGGAAAATCTCTCTGTATGATATCCTGTTTCTGCACAGGGCTGTACTGAATGATCCAGGACCTCTTTGGGAAATATGCTCTGAAACTCTCCTCTGCCCAGCAGCACTCACAGCAACTGCATAAGTAGATTAAAGGCAAAAAGGAAGGTAAAGTTGCCTGAGAACTTCCTTCTACCAGGAAAATTCACCACGAAAAGTGGACTTTACTCTGCTTGCAGCTGCTTGGTGGCAGACGCCAGAACTTGTAGGCCTAAGCAGGCTGGAAGCTGAAATTGCCATCAAGGTCTCTGCCCCTTCAAGATATTTCCAAACTGTTTTTACAGACAAAGTCCTGCCAGATGCCCCTTGCAACCTACTTAATTGCAAGGTATTCAAACAATCTCTTCCAATGGCACTGCAATACCTGTCTACAAGTATTTAAACTTCTTTCTGAAATCTTACCACTGCGCAGATTGGATCTTTGGTCTTTATGACTATAAGAACTTCAGCAAAGAGACCTTTTATTTATTCTTCTGTTTTTATTTATTCATTTATTTTTAGAGAAGGCACGTTGCAAAGATACAGTCAAATATGAAAAAATAAAAATAAAATCCAAGGAAACAAAGAAAAGAAATCCCTCACTGCATTTCTCTCTCCAGTAACAGAAAATAGATGGCACTTGCAATTTTTGAAACACCAGTGGTCATTGTACAAAACTCTTCTTGAATACTGGAGCTAAACATTCGGGCCAGGATAATCAATAGGTGCAGAAAAGTAGAGAGTCTTCCAGGTGGAGGGGGTAAAATGCTTTATAGTGAAACTTCTGAAATGGACCATGTTAATAATGCAAAAGTCAAAGCCTATAAACTGTATATAAGCCACGTGAAATGGTTACAGATCAAAAATATTAAATCTTCTGAACCCTTTCTTGTATTTGGTGACCTACAAGCTTTCTGGCATGAAGAACACAGTAGTTCTTCAGAACAGTAGTTCTTGCTATGATTTATAAGATGTTTTGCATGATAGGGAAAAATGTGAAAGAAAAAAATCCCTTATAATTGTGATGATTTTCAAAACAGTGGCTCCTATGTTTATTAATACAATGCTGCATTCATAAGAATTTTTCTGATAAAACCTTTTTCTTTAAAAATCTTTCTTGTTAACCAGAATAACAAAACACAACCAGAATTCCAACTTTCAAAGCCAGAAGATCTATAAACACTTCTGACAAGCAGGAACTCTTATAAATGCAGTTTTGAGAAGTACTGCAGTTCCCAGAAGTGGCTGTAAGCTTTCATGTCAGCACAAGCCAGCACTGCTTTGTTATCCTTACTAAGTCAAAAATGGTTGCCATTTGCTTTCTCAAATCTGAGGTTTTAAGGTATTTTAAGACTTCAGTGTACAAAAAGAAGAAGGTGTGTTTTTGGCATTAACCTGTTCTGCTTACCTTAACAAGTGACTATTTTTCCATTCCAGACAGAGAGATCAGAATGGAAGAATTGCTATACAAATATTTTCTTAAGACTTTGAAAAAATGTGCTAAAGTTCTAAGCAACATATTTCAAAAGGTACTGCGTACCTCTCACATGCTAACATTTCTGAGGTAGACTGTGTTACTTCTTTCAAGTAGTAGGTTCAGAGTCATGGTAAAGTCTGATTGGATTGGACAGGGAAGGATCAACTAAATCTTTCACCTCCTTTTCATTTTCCTAATGAATGCAGTGAACAGGAAATGGCACCCCTGCTTTTGGCCAAACACTTTGCTCTTTTGGCTGGCTTCTGACCGAAGCAAAACTCTCTACAGGATAGTGGCTTGAGAAACAACTGTCCACACAAGGAAACCATCTGTTAGATTTCTTAATTATCTACCTTCTCTTTAATCATCTTTGTTCACAGGACACCATGTCTTATTTTCATATACAACAGAGTATATTATTGTGTCTTTGCCTTCCTTTTTGCCCATGAATGAGAAAGGCGAGATCACTAAGGCCAGACTGAATACTTACTTTGCAATGCAACATGCCTGCTGCATCTTGGCTGTTCAAGTCTGACGTGATAGCTCTTACAATCTACCTGAGAATCAGCCAACTACCAATCTGATGTAGAGATGAAATAACTGCTTTAGTGGCTTTTCCTACTCTTTGAAGCTGGCACAGATTTTCTCCAGAGATATTCTTGGCCATCCTATCTCTCCACCTCCTTCCAGCAATGGGTTGAAGGAAAATAGCCATGATGAGAGTTGCACTTGATGCTGAGGTGAGAGATGCTCTGTTCTGATGTCATCTGGATCCAGCATGTTGAAACTACCTGACACTTGATCTCTTCTGAGTCATTTGAGCACCATGGTCAGCCTGCAGTCATGCACTGCTCTGCACTGGGATTTATTCCAGTAGCTCCTCTGTTCCTTGGCATATCCTATTCCCTAGTCGCATTTATTTTCTGTGATAATTAGCTACATCAGTGCATTATCTCTTTTTTGAACTGAATTAATGCCTTTGATTATCACTTACGGTTGTATAATGGTTCACTTACATTCCTTTAATCATTACTATTTGTGCTGGCTAAGAACTGGCTTTTCTTGTCTTTTTACAGATTTGGTTTAAGGTGCAGAACATAGCTGTTACTGTAAATCCTGTTTCAGCTACATTCTCTTGTTTTAGAGAATTATTGAAAGAACACTGAAGGTAAATTATACTCTTGCAAAAGGTTTCAGGATACTCCTCCCAAATCATTCCTTTTTTGATTAATTTCAATTCTGGAGGGAGCTGTTCTTCTGGACATACACCCTTTCTGTAGTTCCCTGGATAATCTCTTGTCCCTTTTTATAGCCTTTAACTTTAGGAAGATGCTTAGTATGGCAATGCAAGAGGAATACAATGAAGAGAATTAGTCCAACTTTCCACTTTTTTGCCACAGAAGCATGCCTTGCAGATTTTCTTTATTAAAAACAATTACTTCTAATGACAAAGTCTAACATTCCTCCTCTTTTGCTGCCTCCTTCCAGAGATTAGCCAGCAAAAACAAAACAAAACAAAACAAAAAAAACCAGAGGGAAGCTCATTCCAAAGCTAGATGATTACACACTTTGAATTTACTAGAGTACTGCTTCATTTCCAGAATTAAGGGAGAAAATTTCTAGACAGAGTGCTGGGGCAGTGCTAAAAAGAGGATTTTGAAGAGAACACTGGTCTAGCTGCTTGGCTATAGAAATCACACAAAGCAACATAGTCCTTTTGAGATGATCCTCAACTGTCTGCTTTAAACCTCTTTCATGTTCTTTGAGCCAAAGGAGGTTATTGGCAGGCTTGAGATTGTTTAAAACAAGTGGTCTGACTGCTGTCCTCTCAAGTGCTAGATTCTGTTAATCAAGCATTCTGCCCCCTTTACTCCCCACTTCTCAACAACACCAGTAGCTTATGAACTGGACCTGTCATAGAGGCCCCTGCTAAGCCAGAGAACATGCTACAGCTGCTAAAATTAGGAATCCAAAGGCTCTGATGGGAGAACTAATTAGCAGCATCACCACAGAGCTCAAGAGCTAACCAAGACAAAAATACTTGCAATTCTGAAGATAGACTGCTATGATAAAATTGTTTCTTCTCTTGTTGCTCTGAGCAGAAAATATGTTTAATGGTGGCTGGCTGAGTCTCTAGCAGTGTGTCACTACTTTCTGCTAGTTTGGACTGACTAGCTTTGTGTCTTGTTCTGTATACCTAAAATTAGTAGTTAAATTTTGTGCAGTAGATTTATTATCTCTGCCTGCAAAGGAAATGTTTTGTGACTTTAGAAGAACATATATCTTGCCTTTTTATGGAGGGGAAATGAGTTTTTGTTGTGCTAGCCTCTCAGCTGGTATAAATCAATATAGCCCTAGTGATGTACCACAGAAGAAAAGATGCAGTATTGTCTGCTTTAGTTCTGCATTCCATTCTTTTGGCTATCGTTTCGTCTTTGAAGAGACAAAATTACGTTAGCAGCCTCTATTATGGCATATTTCTCACCACTGGGTACAGTTCAGACATTCCACTGTGGTCTTTCAAACCATCAGAAGTATTTTGAAAACAGAATACAACTGTTGTAATTAGATTTCAGTCCTGAAAGCTCAGGCTAACATTCTGCTGTGCATGAGAGCTACGTGTCATGATCGTGAGTACACATGATCACTATCTTATGTGGAAAGCACCCAAGCTCAAACCTCTTCAATAGTGTCACGTTCTCTTCTCTAAATCTGTAGTCAACCAGTGTCCTTAGTTCCTGACACTTCCTGTAGCACAGACTTTCTTGATGATTTTCTGAGTAATGATCAGATACAATGCTTAATCTTTTACAAGGTCCAGTGAAATTTAAACTTGAAGTAATGTGATTGTTTTCTCAGAGCAATATTTCAATTTAAATATTATTCAATTGACTATTAATTAATTACACTAAACCAAGAATGCTATACATTTAATTTCCAAATCTGAAGTATTTTTCACTAAAGAAAAATTTGTAAAGTAAAAATAAGTAACATTAGTATTTTTTAGAGATGCATCAGCCCATAAGAATAAGCCTGATCTTAAAGAAAGGTAACCCTCATAAGGAGCATACTTACAGGAGTACTTAATTTACTAATATTGTGACTGTAGATGCAAATAAGGTGTTTCTTTCCTCAGTGGTTAACTGCATATACGGACATCTCACGTGCATGAACAGTTGTGATAAAGATATACAAAGCACTATGATACGATGCTGTTGTTTAGGAATAGCAGTGATTAAATCCTCCATTCTGATCTGATTTTATGAGTGCGGCCATCTCAATCACGCTTTGCCGCAGGTGTTTTTACAACATGTACTTAGAATGGACATTTTTTAGAATGTAAAAAAACTTTTAAACTATGAATTCACATTTGGTTTACTTAATCATTATTAGTTTGGCAGTGTAACCAGCAAGCTTGCCACATGTGCAAAGGAGAAAAGAGAATGAGCAAACTGCAGGACACACTTTCTAACTGACATAGCACATGCCAGTCCAAATACCAAATCTGTAGGAAGACAGAAGCAGCTATGCTTGTTTTCTAGAAGGCCAAAGCAGAGCCACTGATGCTCATGCGAAAGAAGTACTAACAGACTGAGTTCCAGAGCAGTGCTGGTCATGTCTACAACAGACTGAATGTCTCATACACTCTGTCCTTGAAATTGTCTTAGACAAAATATGAATTTAGCACAGCAAATTGGGAGATTGCTTACACGTTTGTCTTCCTAAAAACATTTCAGGGCAGTTCAAACCTGAAAGGAACTGACATACTGCTGGATGCACCTCCATACCTGGTGAACCAGTGCCAGCTCCACTTCTAGCCTTGCTGATCTTTTAATATATCCAGTCTTAGTGATGTTGTTTTTAGGCTTTGGAGCTTTAATTTTGACCTGGGTGACAGAATCTGGGAGAGATGCTTCCAGTTCGCACAGTCCTGAGAGAAACAAAGAGCAACTAAGCAACAGAGTGATGGAGAGCAAAATTTGAAGTTTGTTCATATTTTTAATAAATATCTCATAGCAACTAAGTCTTCCTGTATGGGAACTGCTGAGTCACAGCCTGAACCTCTGATTGATCACCTGAGGTGAGCAGTAAGTCAGCCAGAAGAGCACAGGTGAAGGCAATTCACCTGTGCTGCTGGAAGGGGTGGAGCCAGGCTAGTCCTCCTAGACCTATTTAAGAGCTGGCTACCAGCGAAGAAGGATCTCTTCTGGAGATCTGCTCTGCTGGAGTTTTTCTAAGTGAGTCCAGGATAGGGGTCAGCCTTCTATTTATCCTCTTTTGTAATCATAGTCTGCTTTGCCTAACTCTCTTGTTTATTTTGTGATTATAACATCCTAATATTCTTTGATTATACACTTCCAAAATGCCTTACCTGCAAAGGTGTTAAGATAGAAGTTTTTTACAACGTAGTGTTCAGAATGGTTGTCTGGGAAATACCCAATCCTAGATAAAGGAGCATATGTTTGTGATGCAAAGTCAGTATACTCTTTGATGATATCGCGTCTTTCCAGCTTCCCCATCACATTCTTCCTCTTAGCTATCAGTTTCCTGAGCACTGAAAAGGATACACAAATGTAAGAACTTTCTTCATACAAACAGTTTTAAAAAGCCTCAGCTTCAGGAATTCACAAAGGCTCCTGCTGGATAATATAACACACGGCCAGTTTGCTCAGAACACATGCTGGCTGTGCATATCTATATTGTGGTTGCTACCTGTTTCATCTTGAACAAAGACTGCAACCTTGTGAAAATAGAAAGGGCTTGTTTGAAAACTAAATCTCACACTGTACTCTCCCTGGTTCTCAAACATACTCAGTGCAAAATCACGCTGAATCTTTTTTATTTTCTCTTCTTTAGCCTTCTGATGATTTTGCCAGTGGTCATCCAAGCGCTTGGCATCCAGCTCATTTTGTTTCTCCTCTCGCCTCTGCAGCAGCTTCTTAAAGACTTCCAGTCGAATCTCTTGCAATCTTTAAGGAAAAGAAAAGCCAGGTATGATTTAGAGAACTCTGCAGTGTTCTGAGCAATGTACCAGCTGACGGCTTTACACACAGTTCATATTGCATATCTCATTTTTAATCTTTCTTTTTTAAAAGTGGAAACCTGCTGGTGGAAAGACTGCTGTAGTAGCAATCTCATATTAAATTTAACAAAAATATCCCTTCTGCAGATCAGGGGATTTCTGCAGAAATCAAAGGTTTGTACCCTCCAGCCAATCCTCTAACCCTTCTTGTTTCTTTTCTCTTTGGGTCATAATTAAAAGAAATGAAGTGTACAACTGGACTCTCACTTTTCTATTTCCTGTTCTCTAAAAGCCCATTCCTTCCTCTCCATTTCATCCATCATTTTCCTCCTCTTTGCAATGTTCGAGGCACTGTCCATGGCTGGAAGAGTTGCTTCCCATGCACGTTTTTCCCGGGCACGTTCAATCATCTCCACTTCGGCTAGTCCTGCTGGTAGCCCCCGGCCTTAGAGGGACAAGAAACAGCAGCTCTTTAGAAGAACTGTCAATCCACAAGGGCACTAAAGTATTAGAGGGCTTCATGGGCACAAATCCCTACGTTAAAGAGATGCAGAAGGGCCAATAGGCAGAAGTAAATACATCCAAAGCCAGTAGAATACTACGTGAGAAATGGTTGGACCTGCAGTTGCTATAGCTTAGTCGACATGAATGTTATCTCTTCATTCCTCTACTGCAGGCTGGAAAGGAGGATATTTTCTGAGAATGAGCACTTACTGTGTCATCCCCCAGTACGCATCACTACTGTAGATGAAACACTGGGAGATGAGGACCACAGACTCTATTCTTCCACAGAAGCATTCTTGTTTTCTTACTGATGTCTAGCTCAGAACAACTGAAGAACAGAGGGTAAGTGCAAAACTTCTACTAGTTCATACTTGTAAAACATGTGACCTTTTTATACTCAAAGCTCTTTATTAAATGCCCCAGAAGAGCACTATTAAATATGTGAATACTATACCTATTTTAAAAATAGATAAAATAACCATAGAATCATTAAGGTTGAAAAAGATCATTAATATCACCTAGTCCAACTATCAACCCATCACCACAATGTCTACTAAACCATGTCCCTCAGTGCCACATCTACACTTTTCTTGAAAACTTCCAGAGACAGTGACTCCACTACCTTCCTGGGCAATCTGTTCCAATGCATTACCACTCTTTTGGAAAGAAACGTTTTCTAATGTGCAACCTGAATCTTTCTATGTTCAACTTCAGGCCATTATCACTTTATTGTGCCATAAGGGAAGACTGCAAAGGGTTACCATTCCAAAGGTACAAGTAGACTTGAAACCTGACATTGAATAAAGGAGAATCTGCTGCTAAAGGAGGGATATAACTATTACAATTTATCTTGATTCTGCAACTCACCCCAAGTGAGAGTAGCAAGTGTCAGAAGCTCGGGGACTGAGCCACTGGGAACTACATATTCAGGGGAATATGGATCTGTCTGGGCTTCACCATCCCTGTAATCGGTCTGTGTGCCGAAAGTTCGTATTTTGGGACCAAAGATCTCGCTGTCTCTTGTAGATAAATAGACATTGGGCTCTGTCCTAAAAAGTGATGAAAGATGGAAGAACACTTGTCACATTTAAAAGAACAAAACAGATGCAACACTACGTCAAAGGTACCACATTCAAATGTGCATTGTTTCATCTGAATTTTGCTTTCATTCACGTTAAATCCATTACCTTTACTAAAAGCAGACAGATGTAACACTAAATCCTTTGAACGCTTCCTCCTTATATAAGCAAACCAGAAATCTCACAGTTTCAGCTCTCTTGAATTATTGCTGCAAGTTTGCCCTATGAATTCATTCTAAAGCACTGCTTCTAATAGGCACAAAATGTAACTGATGGCTGAGTAGAACATGAAGGAGCGCTGCTTCGGTTTAACTTACATGTTTGCCTTTCCAGCATTTCCAGAACAAAGCTCAGTTCTGGTACAAGCAGTTGCAACTTCCATTGATTCCATTTGCATTCTTCAAAATTTGATCTGCATTGCAAATCACATCAGACTACCACATTACTCAATGGATGCTCTATACAATTGAACAGTATTGCAGCCATCACAGAAATTGAAAAAAAAAAAAAAAAAAAATCAGGAGAATTTTCAATAGTATTTAATGCTGTACTGGAGAATCCTCTGTAGAGGTATTTTTTCCAAGATTCAGAGATGCTTGGCAGTCTGTTTCAGGCCTCATAATCTTAACATACTACTTCTGTCAGAAAGCACTGCTTACCTACTGCAAGCAAGCACCAAACCAGGCAGTCACCTGCTCACCCAGGAATTCTCAACAGCGAACAAACTCTATCACTTACCAAGTTTTTCCTGTCATTCATTACAAAAACTATTAATCGCTAACTAAGTAGCTAACCAATCGTTTACAGGTGAGCTGTGGCCTATTACAACAGTTTTGTTTCAGAAGCCAATACTTACTTTGCAATCACGTAAGAAACATCTAGTGGAAGCAGCTTGTTAGGAGGGACAAGAGGTCTGAAGAAAAAAAAAAGAGAACAAAGAGACAAGTCAATAGCCATGAGGCATAAAAGATCGTTATAGCTTAGAAAAACTGCAGTTCATTAATTTCAGTGGAGTTATACTGATTTTCCACAACTCAGAATCTGAACCTGCACATTGTGCCTGAATATTCAAGAATACTTTCACAGCTAAGTTATACTTCAATAGAAGGAATGAGTGCTATTCTTCAGACAGAGCATGAAAAAAAAAAAGTATTTTCTGATTCAAAATCTTGATTTTCCTTACAGCTTTTGATACTGATGCAGCTGTGATTTCAGAAGAATTACAGTGATCTGTGGTGTGCTAGGAAATGGGGAGTCACCAATAGCAAAGCAAATTAAATCAGTGATTTTCAACAGCATAGAGATCCTGGACACCAATGGACTACTTCCAAGTGGTCCATTAGAAAAAGTGAAAGTAGACCTATTATATTTATTATACAGTGATGTACACGAAGACTGGACACGAAGACAAAGTATTCATACTAAGAATTCTTTCTTAGGCATTCTTATAGTTTGCATATTGTTGCTTCATAGCAATCCTCCTAAGCCTCTGAGAGACTTAGAAGACATTACAAACTAGAAAACTTTGCATGTCTGAAACTTGAAAAAGGTGTAGAATTGGTATACTGTGGTTACCATAGAATGGCCTGGTTGAATAGGACTTCAAAGATCATCTGGTTTCAACCCCCTGCTATGTGCAGGGTCGCCAACCAGCAGACCAGGCTGCCCAGAGCCACATCCAGCCTGGCCTTGAATGCCTCCAGGGATGGGGCATCCACAGCCTCCTTGGGCAACCTGTTCCAGTGTGTCACCACCTCTGTGTGAAAAACTTTCTCCTGATATCTAACCTAAACCTCCCCTGTTTCAGTTTAAAGCCATTCCCCCGGTCCTACCACAATCAACCCATGTAAACATTTGTTCCCCTTTAAATAATATTTTATATAATGTTTTAAACATATAGTTTTTTATAAATGAGAAATGCTTTCTATTTACAGTCAAGATTTACTGCAATATTATAAAGAACAGCTGATGAATTAGGAATACTTTTGTTCTGATTCTTTAACACACAGTCCTTCATTTTCTTTCTCTAAAGCAACCAGATGAACTAAAAGCTTTCAATTAACAAAAGCTGTGCATAAGACTTTTTGCAGGTGACTACTACTGTACTGTTTTACTTTTCCCCCTTCAAAGAGAGTCAAGACCAGACTGGATGGGGCTTTGAGCAACCTGGTCTATAGGGTGGTGTCCCTGCCTATAGCAGGGGGCTTGGAACTAGATGATCTTCCAACCCAAACCATTCTATGATTCTATTCTGTCAGTGTTACAGTTAAGCTAACCAAACATGAAGGTCCTATCAGAAAGAATGGGCTCTATTACAGTAGCATTAAAGAATGTTAATAACATACAATTTTTATGGGATTTAAAGTGGTTGTGTTGGCCAATAGCTGTCTCTTCAAATGGATTTAACACAAAGCACACATGACTAAGTTGAGAATGTTTGTATGCCAGCTGTTGGTTTAGATCATGATTCTAGTGCTGACCGCAGTGTAATTCTGGCAGAAACAGAGCAGTAGAGGACATGGATGAAAAGTTAATTAAAGATTCCCTTTAATCCCATTCTGCTCCTGGAAAAAAAATTGGGAGCTTAAAAATGCCTTCTGTGCCTTCCATAGAAGGAACATTTCCAAGAGTTTTGAGTGCCACGGTGGTTTAGCTTGCCTGAAATTTTCTACAAATAATGATTAAATACAGAATGCTTCGTACAGTAATTCATTACCTGAAAATTCTGGGACAGTGTGAATGTAAAGAGACAGAAAAGACCAAAAAAAAAAAAAAAAAAAAAAAAAAAAAAAAAAAAGGGAGTAAAACAAAAAGGAGAACAGACTTGACCATATAAATATTATATGAACTTCACAAAATCAAGCTTCAGAACTCTGTTTCAAATTAGTTCATTGCTTACCTTGCAAAATATTTGTAGCGATTCCTTCCAGTAACATCAGGATCTTCATACACCATTTGGGGTATTTGAAGAGAAGTTTGACCTCTAAAAGCCAAAATACAGGTAAAGTAGTACAGATTCTTTACTCATGAAATACATTCAGAGCAGTTCTGACTTCTTTTTCTTATGCATCATCATTCATTTTTCCTCTTCTCCAGTTGCACAATCTAAACATGCATATTACAAATTCCACAAAATCCTCATACATACACAAGCAATTATATTTTCCTTTTTTTCATACTTACATATACAGCAAGACAATTTCACACTTCATTGTGTTATTTCCCTGGCAGAAAAAAAAGTCATCAGCCAGATTTAATAAAAGTTCTTTATGTACCTGTCATGACAAGGCCTAAATGCTTAACCTAAAAAAATACTTCTATTGAGAGTTGAGGGGCTGAGCTCATTTTCTTAAAGTGAAAAACTTTCCGTAACAGAAAATATGTGGTAAATGAAGGTATGTGATATAGTGAACAAAGTGGAAAACTACAATTTGCTGCTTTCCAAAAGTAGCTAGGGATTTCAAATAAGTGTGAGAAAGCTTAGAAGCAACAATGAGGAAAGAAGGGAGGAATAACTTTTGGATTAACAAATGAGAGATCCTGGGATATGTATATGCTCAGTTTTGTTTTTTTTTCCAGAAGAAACCCAAGTTCTCTGAAGAAAATTCTTGTTAACACTGTTATATGATTGCAAGTACATATGGATGGACTTTTTGTGTTGAACAGAGAAGACACAAGCCCACTGAGTCAAATGGGCTTGTAGAATTAGCATTAGATTGCCCTTCCTTCAGAGAGTATATCCCTAGAAGGTACCCATTGGAGAACTTTATGATTGTAAATGCTGAAATTGAGTTATTTTGTGCTCTTCGGAAGGAGACAACCTTGCATGGCAAAGATACCATGCTAGTATTTCTCTGCATTCCGCTCAGGGACACGATTTACCAGAGGGTTGTTAGAGTTAGGGTAGTATGGTTAGGTTGTGGTAGAACTTGATGATCTTAAAGGTTTTTTCCAATCTGAGTGATTCTATGACTCTATGATTTCAATTACAGTTCTCTAATACAGAAGAAAAATTATGCTGTTCATGTGAATGTTTCAAAAATTATGCTGAAATAAGTAAAGCAATAGTGTTTCTTCATTTTCTCTTCATCTTGAATTTACAGTAGTGAGACCATCTTGGTTTTCTTTCTTTTAACACCATGAGGTCTTTATTTTAAAACCAGGTGGTCTATTGAGGCAATCAGTGAGGGAATGTTTGAGATTGAGTCCTTTGAAGGCTATATCAGGACTGCCATTAGATTTCACAGCTACTTCATATTCCAGTCTTATTCTTCTCAACCTGCAACCTTGAAAAAAAACAAATTGCGGTGTTTTTCCTGTTGTTGTTGTTTTTAAGTAGTATATCGTGCTATTAAAGTCAATCATTAAATTGTTTGTAAGGCCAGTCCTGAAGGTTCTGCTTTCCTAATATCTTTTTTGATAACTTATAACAATTCTGACCTTAAGTGTATGGGATTCTGGGTACTCGAGTTGGTTGATGCCACTTAATTTTAAATACAGAGCCTCATTGACAGAAATAAAGTAAATAATGCATAATATTGCTTGACAGCTGGGATAAAAACAGGGGCTGCATAGTGACATCAACTGTCTTCAAAGACCTCATAAGCCCTGTGAGCTGTGCTGTGGAACTCAAGGAGCCAACCATATGGCTACAAACTACAGCAATGCCTGCAGAGTAATGCTTTCTACATCTCCCTTGACATACTGTTTACTGACAAGGTCATCTCTTCCCAGCATTTTTAGTCACATCATGAAACAAAGGAGAGCAGAAGGGTTCAAGATGCTGTGTGATAATAGTAGATACTTACTCAGCACTAATCAACCTATTACTGTAAAGTCGTGTTTGAAATTCTAATGAGTTAACTGAGCTGATGGCTAGTTCCACTAGCTGACTCTATGTATGAGTGCTGCTGTTAGATGGATTTATGTTTCATTCAGCGCAGGTGGGCACTTATTCTTAAGATCTAACTTTATTAGCATAAGCTATTCATCCTGTTATGATATGTTATAGGCACAGTGGGAAGCCAGTGAAACAGCCTCTTTTATTCCTCAGATCCTGCCTCTTCCAAGACCTTGACTTACATTTGCTGACTTTGCTGAAATAAACGAGCATTCATTCCTGATAACCTTGCAGAAGCAACACAGCCACTGAGACAACAGCTGGAAAATAATTCTATCATCTTCACTATCGGCAGCACTGAAACAGAAGGGATGTATTTCTCTTTCTTCATATATATATATATATATACATATAATACTAATTGCAAGATATTTTGCAAATATATGTTGCTGAAATGTGAATGTATTTTTAAAACACTTCAGGTTTCAAAAAGGCTGCTGCTACAGAATAGCAAGCAAAATAGAAGAAACCACTGAGGTTTTCATGTGCTGGGGACAGTTTGAGTTGCTGATAATAAGAAACAAACAAACAAACAAACAAAACACCTCCAAAGTATTGCTTTGTTGCAGAATTGAGAAGAGTATGCTTTCGAAACTGAACAGAAATAGGTGTGAAATTCTTCATATCACTCTTAAACTTCCTTGATTACTCTCTGGCAAGTGGTAAAACTCAGTTAACAAAACCAGAGAATATATCATATGAAGAGCTCATGGTCTAAAGTTAGTTTGTTAGGGCAGCAAAAAAAAAAATGAAAACAAGTAGCCAGGCTAATGCCTGCATTCTTGAGTGTTGCTACAAGAAGACTCTTAAAGACGCATACTGTGGCAAAACTCAAATGATTGCTTAAATATTTGCTGAATTAGAAGTGCAGATTGCAATGCCAGGAGAAAAGTCAGACAAAAAACTTCTGAACTATAAACGCGTGTCCCGGTTCAAGCACCATACATGCTTGAATGAGCAGCAAAAGCAATCCACCCGGCTGCAAGTTCCTCGGACAGCTACCACTGAAGTAACTCGTGAGCCAGTGAAGACTTTGCAACTTGTCTGATCTATAAGAGATTGAATTACTCTTCATTTTGCCAGCCGCTACTGCAGAGCAGATAGCACAGGGATGAAGGAATGTGTAATGTCCACCCTGTAAGAAACAGATGGGAAACAACACTCCACAACAGCTGCAATCTCTTAATTTCAAGGGCAATATAAGTAGGAGCAAATTGCAGTCAACACCACTTCAGTGCGTCAGGGTTTTTGTTGTTTTTGTTTGCAAGTTTGTTTTAAATTACCCAAGCATGAAACACTTACACTGCAAGCTGCTGTAGAGCCTTCAGGTGCTGCTGAGCCCTCTCTCTCCATCTTCGATCAATAAATGGAGGCACTGCATCTTTGCCCTCCAAGCACAGCCCATAGCCCGGGAAATGGAGCAAGCTACTAAGCATACTTGTGAAGACTGGTACTTCTACCTAATGTTTGTGTGGACACAAAGAAGAAGAGGTGCGTTAGTGATTTCAAAGAGCATTAAAGTGATCAGAATTTCGGCTGGTGCTGATGAGTATATGTATATACAAGCAATCCATAGAAAAGGCTGGTGTTATTTACAGGGCATTTGGGAGGAGGAAAGAAGAAGACATACACATGCTAATGACTGCAGCCGGTTAGATGGCACTTCTCAAGATGTGGAGCATATCAGACTAGCAGCAGATGCACAGATATGTCTTCTGGCTGTTTTCCAGTATCTAAACTTATACTACAAATCCAAGGGTCTAACAGTTTTGTTACATAAAGAAGTTAGTGTGCAGAAACTGTGAATATGCAGTCATGTGAACTTCTAGCAGATTACCCCATGTAACTCCCTCCCACTAGGTGTGCTCTAGAAATGAAGAAGCAGTTATTTTACTTAGAGAGTAAAATTACATTATTTTATAATACAGTAATTTTAGCATCTGCTAAAAATATCTTGATGGGAGTTAGCATACAAAAAAGATCACATTAAAAATCCACACTCTTTCTTCTGGAGCACTGATTTCCCTCGGTAGATATGCCTTAAATCTGAAGATTTATGGTTACCAATAAATCTTTGTAATTGTGACTCAATTATAAGTGATGTAGATACATTGGCTTCTGTAGAGCCTGAAATCTGTTTTGAATTGCAGTGGATAGTAACTCGCACACATATAGGATAACAGTGACATTTCAAGCACACTAACTCATCAGTGTCAGATTAAGAAGACCTAGGCAACCTTCTATGAGTAACTGCTTTCTGGGCATGAGACTGCATTTGTGTTTTATTTCTCTTGGAAGGGAATTCAAGTTCTAGGAGTTCGGAAGTGCTTATAAATGAGCATTAGCTCAGCCTCTGCCCACCCCATTTTGTGATGCTATAGATCAGGAATTCAAAGTTGTTTTGTTTTGTATTGCAGGTTACACAGTTGGTGATTCATACACTTAAAAAACATTTTATAGAAATCAGAGTACGTCACCATACCGTCTGCAAAATTACATCTATGACATTCACAACCTTTGTGACTGTGCATCTGCTTACTTGTTGCGCCTGAACTGTTGGCACAGGGGTGGACAAGCACACATCTCTGTCAAATAGATATATATTTACATATACAAGAGCCTGACATAACTAGGTAAGAGACATCCAGAAACATTTTTCAAAAAAATGTTTCATTTGGGGGAGTTTCTCCTTGCTGGATAGGAATGGACTTTCAGAGTCTCAAATATCTGCCTTGTACGCTCAGTCAAGCACAAAGTTTCAGGAGGGCTCTTAGTTTAAAATCCAATTCACTGTGCTGCTGCAGTCTTGCTGTAGCAAGTCTGCTTTTTCTTGGCATTCTGCCTATATGCAGCCTGTCCAGACATCGATCACTGCTGTGCAAAGATGTGACTGCAGTTCCCTAAGGATGTGCCCTAGCTGATTTTAAACTAGCTAGGTTGAATACTGATAGCAGGAGGACGGTGGGAGAGCTAAGCATGGGCTAAGAGCTAAGGGAAGCTGATCTATGCAAACCTGGAAGAATCAGGATGGGTTTGCAACCTGTTACAGGCTGCTTAGCTGTTGATACCTAGTAGATTTCAAGCTGTTTGAGTATGTTGTTACCTTGAGCTGCAATGCAAGTACATCCCAAGGTATGGGAGAGGACACTGAAATAACACATTTTAACAGCTGTATTCGAACAACAGCCCAGCAACTGTCCAGTTGTTTTATTAGATCTTAATGCCATATGCAAGATATTGTTTATCAGCATTTGGTACGTTATTAAAAATACCTATATGCAATTTTGGAAACTACCCAGGATATGAAACTGGGCATTTCTAGGTTGCTGCTACAGTCATCCCAGCCAGCAATAAGGTGCTCCCTGCATTGTCTTTTATATCAGGTAAAATTCCTAACTTTCCTTCCTTTGCTGTGTGGGTTGTTGCTTTAAGGGAGCAGCTGAGTAAAAAAGGTTCTATCCACTTGTGTGCATACGTGTGGTGTGGAAAACCAGGCGTACCAGGTGAGCTCTCTTTGGCAAACACCTACCAAATTCTCACTGACAAGCTGAATGTGGGCATTTGCCTTTGAATGGCCCTTCTCAATTGGTAACGTGTACAGAGGGTCTGAAAGATAAATGAACAAATGGATCTAGTTACACACAGAAGGCACCAGCGGGGGACACCGCTCAGGATCCTTTCCCTCTTTAAAAGTCTGCCCAAACAGGTTAAAAACGGATGGGCAGTCAGCCCCAGCGGCTGCGCAGCTGTCCCGCTCCCAGACCCCCGCCACAGGCGGAGACGCACACCCGAAGGCCGCGACCGCTCCCCGCGGGGATGCTGGGCCTGGCCACCCCAGTCCCCCCGCCCCGGGGGCCGCGTGTTGCGGGGAGTACCGTGGAGGCGGCGGAGAGTCCGACCGGAAGCCGCCCGCGGGATGCGGAGACGCTGCGCGGCTGATGGCGGCGGACGCCCGCCGTCACCGGGGCAACGGAGGCCACGCCCCCTGTGTGACGTCACCGCGCTGAGAGGAAGCCGAGGCGGCGGGCTTTGTCCTGCCCAAGATGGAGGGTGGTGGGGGGCGGTCCTTCACCACCGGTACTGAATGCTGCTACATCGGCACTACCACCTCAAGTCCTTCACAGCACCAGCCCTTGTTGTAGACGGTGCTCGCCAGTTCTCCTGGATCCTTGCTAAGTGCTTAAGAAAAACTTTTTAGCAATTAAGCTGGAGTACTGGATTTAAATCCAGATGTTTCTGGCTCTGCTCACGTCTGCAGGACATCCCTTGAAATAAAAAACAGAGAAAATAGGCTTGGTGCCTACCTTCTTGAGCAAGCTACTGGCATTGTTGCATTTGTACAGCATCCAAAAAGACCTACGTGAGGGATTACAAACCAACATTACTCTGCTAGTGACTTGTAATGCTGCTTTGAAAAGGAGGAGGCTGTCATCCTCTCTGAGGAACAAACCTGGAAACGCTGGTGCTGCTGAATGGAAGGCTCTCCTTTTGTCAGTCTGGGTTTGGCAGCAGCACTGCTGAGACTGCTCATAGAGAACAGGGCACAAAAAGCAGCAGAGCTGTCAAGGAACCATCTCCTTTGCCTACTGCCTTGAAGTAGGTCCCTTGCATTCATTATTTCGTGTGTACCAAAAGAATTACTCACAGCTTGGCATGTCTGACACAAAATTTTATTCCCTTGGTACTTCATCACCGGAGAGAGACATGAGGACTGTGGCTCCAAGTTCTTTGACTCTAGCAATTTACGTTTAAACACTGAATTTAAGTTTGAAATGCTGGTTTATGCTTCTTCAAGGCCTGAGGCTTGTCTGAAGCAGCAGCATATTTATATTCATGTAGCAGATCAAATTGATCAATGGAAAACTCTGAAATAAAGCGTGCTGTCGCAGCTTTATACTATGGACTGATTAATAATATAATCAACTGGCTGTAATGGCCCTCACTTACTAAGGAGCTTTACGTAGTGATACCTTGTAATTATTAAAGGGGCAGCAAACATCATTTTTTTCATTATTCTGATTCATATTCATCAGAATTCATCATTAGGAAAGGTAGGCTTTCCTAACATTTCCCATGATCAAGATCTGTTTTCCTTTCTCTTGTATCTCATTGCATAAGAACTTCATAATTTCCACGATGAAATTTTCCATGCTGAACATCTGCCTTGAGATGATATGTGTCAACTGTATGTTGGCTCTTTGTCAGTTCCACCCTCTCAAGTTTTTCCTCTTTAAAGTTTTCAGAGAGGATAGGATGCAGGTGCCTGGACTTACTGTTTATTTTTTCTGATGAGGGAAAGACTGGATGGGAACTTAGTAGAGAAGGAGCAGTGGAACAATTACATGAGTTGTTGATACAGGAGTACAAAATCTCAGGATGTAGCCTAAAAGATGAGTCCTTCTGGAGCTGTGGAAGATGAGAAAGGTGTAGGACTACCATTAAATGAAGCCACTTTGCATAGGTCTCAAGGCAAAATGCTGCCATCTTCTTAATTTTGCATGTGCTGCATGGCCTCACTGTCTGGCCTCATTGCCTCTGACCTGTGGGTGTTGGCAGCTGGAAGGCTGTGTGTGTAAGCAGCTCAGGAGAATGGCGTTGCTGGAAACTAACCCGCCGCAAAATAAAACACATATTTTCAGATCACTGCATAACTGCCTGAAGACCTGCTGTCTTCCCACTCATGGAGTGGGATCAGCTATTTTTAAAGAAAAAAAAATCCCCAAGTATGAAGGACTCTGAGAAAAGTGCTTGGCCCAGACAGTAAACTGTGACAATCCTATCTCTGGCCAGCACTTCAGAAAATGGACTCGAATCTTATCTGGTTGGTCTCCGTCTCAGGATGCATGCTGTTGCTTGACTGAAAGTAAACTAAAGGTAGCAAAGCTGTAAGTAATCAGAAACGTTCCTCTGTTCCTTAGCTTAGTTTTCAGAGAACTTGGCTGTTGGTTTTTTCTTTAGTGCTGCAGGTTGAAGCATGATTTATTTATTTATTTATTTATTTATTTAGTAATCGCTTTTCCAGGACAGGAAGGTGTAGCTGAGCTGGGGTTCTGTCCGTACGATGATTTCTTACAACCATTTGGCTGTGTGGGGACAGCAAGTGCTCAGATGTATGGGTAAGCTGTCCACAGCTCCGTGAGTTACTGTGCAGTGACTGGTGGAGCAGAGTAATGCTGGCCCAGTGTTTAGCATGTTGTAAATGTGTGGTGAAGTGCGCTAGTTAACCAGCCGTGAAAGAAGCTGAGATAACTGCATTTTACTTCCTATTAACCTTGAGGCAGGACAGTGTAATTTGCTGCAAAGATGAATTACTGCTGCTCTGTTGATGGACTTGTTATGCTGTGATGGTTTCCTGATGTGCTTGAACTGTAAAACCAGACAGAGAGTGGAAAGCTGTGATGAGGAGGCATCAGCTGAGAGCAGAAGTAGCTGGGCAAGGAGAAGATGAATT